TCTCTCCCTGTCTGTGTGTCTCTGTCTCCATGGAGAAAAGCTGGGGTATGCGAAAAGACGAATTCCTAATGCAAGAAATTGTATAGGGCTAATAACGAAAAATTATACATTATTATAAAACATTATACATTATTATAAACATTAATATAGAGTTGTATTTGCACTTGACTTGATTTGATAGCCTTTGTTTTCCCAGCCTGTATTAAGAAACAATATTTACCTTGGAGTGCGTGGAACCTTCAAGCAGCTGGGTGTCTCTGAGGAACTGTTCTCTGCTGTCCAATGCCTCAACACTCTATTCAGAATTTCAGAAACAAAACACCAGTCAACGTACCACATTACCTTTAAGATCAAGTTTTAAGCCTTGAAGTTGGTATTCAAAAATATAAATAATTGTACACAGAAAAATATAAACTTCAGTTTATTATAAAGTAAAAACAGTCCTCACACAGCAGTCCATCCATCTGCCTTTAAATCCTGCAAAAAATCTGCTCTTTTAAAAATATTAACTCTGGATGGTACTTCAACTAAACATTTCTATTTCAGTAGGCTTGAGTGGTGAATGACTGTATTAGACTGTGAATGACAGGAGATTATAAATAGAACAGCGCATTATTACAGGATTGTGTGTGCCAACCTAATATCATATTATTTCACTCAAGTTACCCTTTGTGTGTGAAAGTGAAGCAGAAATACCTAGAGATTCTGCAAATTAGGCAATAAAGCCGCCTGTGCTCTATGTAGCAAAATGTCACAGAACAAAATGCAAGATAGCATGACACAATTCACCCCTAAAAGCAGATTAACAAGGCAGCTCTACAGTAAGAAGATTATGGAGATTAGGAAACCCGATTGATTGGGGAAGCCAACACGAGATCATTCAGACTGACAGGGTTAGTGGGCTAGCAGGCCACAGATCTCTATGAAACAAAAACAATAAAGCACCCCCACATATAAAGTCCAACAAACTCACAATATATTTAAATACGTTCTTGTAAGTTCAATAAAAGCACAATATTTAATAATGTGTTTCCTTTAACAGTCAGGGTAATAATTGTTCTTATTCTTTCGAAATACAGATCTGAAATATATTAAGGCATATTGTGAGTAAATAAAATGCATTCTTTTCTCATAATATTATATGGAAATACAGTAAGCATCAAAGAAAAACAACTGTGCAAGAACTGATGTCACCATTGTAATGGTAAAGCAGAGCCCTATTAATTTATTTTTAAAAGGTTGACAAGTTTTCTGGCCTCAAAAAAAGAAATGCAGATTTATGAAATAAGAAATGGTGTTTGATCTCTAATGGGCTTTGCTAATCCCTGCTGTCTGGTGTCAAAGAGCCCTAAGCCAGAGGGAGCTGCTGGTAGAGGCGACATACCCTGCTGCTGCCACTGCTGTCCAGGCTGTGCGCTGGGCTGGCCGGTCGCATAGTGCTGATCTCCAGATCAGCAACCATCTGCCTGGACTCGGCCACCAAGCGCAGCAGACGAGTGAGGGATGGCTGTTCATCCTGCCAAAAAAGGTCACATCTTCACTCCTGCCTTTGATATTCTAGGAGCTCCATACACAACCACTGGAATGGATTTCAATGTCAAGTGTTTCATGTGTGTATGACAATGCCATATTATGACAAGTGGATTGTGGGAACAGAGGACAGCAATCCCCATTCCCAGGCCTATATCACAATTTATTGAAATGCAATCCATTCAAAGTTCAGACCATTGATCAGGACTTTATTGTGTGAGAGATCATTTCTTCACAGAGAGGTCTGACGTGGGTAATTCTCATAAATTCCCCTTCATTTGTTTTCTCATTGGCATTTACTTGAGCGAGGTGAGGTGCAACTGCAGCTCCCAGGAGGAAAGCAACCTCTCCCTTTCCAGGATGCCAAGAGTCCGCTGCTCCTATCACAAGCAAGGAAACGACGCTTCGAGATTTCCCGAAACAAAACGAAACATACAGTACAGCCACAGTCAGGGCTACTCAATCTGAAACATGCGCTTCCTTTGAGGACAGATGTGAAAAAAGAGAATCCTCACGCTGTTAGCAGGTGCGGAGCTGGGACCTCCTTCTCCATTTACAGTATCTTTGGGGGGCGAAACTGCCAGCTCCAGAGTGCCATTTCCCAGGCGTGGGCTCCCTCTCTGCTTCCGACGATTTGAGGCAGGAGAGGAGCCCCCCCATACCGCAGAAGAATCCAGGTGAAGGGAGCCGAGGTCCAGCCTTCCCTGGCTGGGAGAAGAAGTACAAACTCAAAACTATGAAGAGCAGGTACAGACGCTACATCTTGTTCATTCGGCTCTTGTCCTGCTGTACAGTGTTTAAGAGGGAATTATTAGGTAGGTTGTGTTATTGTTTTGAGATTATTGTTATTTGCAAATGATAAAATATGACTGTTAAAAATAGTTTTTCAATAAGCAGTGACTAGCGTACAAAACATCAGCTTACCTGTTTGAAGGGTATTACATTTACCCAAGTGAAATCACAAGCTCAGTGGTGCACTGAATATTTAATTTACTATTTAAAAAAAACAGTATTTATGACAATTGTCAATAAAATTAAAACAGTCCATATATTCACAATCTAATATTAGTATAAGAATGCCTAGTGTTTGTAACCCTTCAGGACTCCATGACATATGTTGCCCAAGCACTTCAGCTAGAAGGAGAAAATGCCTAGAAATAGTACCTAGCAGGGTGCAGCGGTGATGTGGTTCCACAACCTGCACCGCATGACAGTTGCCTTGAATCAGCTGCTTCTTCAATACACTTAAAAATTGCAATCCACTCTAAGTCTGTCATACAGCACTCTGCTTCAGCCTCAGCTCTGCGAGGGGTCAGACTTCCTACTTCAGTACCAGCAGCAGCAGCAGTTGCCCTGTGTCCTGCTGTGCCAAGAGCTGTTTGACAGGCAGGTCCTGCTGCCTTCTCTCGGCCTTCACAGCAGTGAGCACACCAGTCAGCCGCCTCTGGTCTGTGATGACTCAGACCCGCTCCTGAACCTCTCTCGGCTACCCAGCTGCGACGTGGACAAGCTGCAGCTCTGTTCAAGCATGTGCTTTCACTCCACGGTCTGAGGTGAGGGTCTCCCTGCTGCGCCCTGGCTGCTTCTGAACAACACTGAGGGCTTTCTGGGATTCCAGACATCGTCTCGCCAACGGGTTTTTGCTGCGCACCTGTAATGTCCCTTGATCTAATCCCTAGCTGTGCAGCCCTGATGTTCTGCTGTAGGCCCGGGGGAACACCTCCTGAATGTTTGCTGTGGTAGATTTCACTATGAAGTAGATCTCCTGCTGTCCCCTTGTGTCCTTGATCTAAATGGGATGGTTCCATTTCTGTGAAAGCTTTCTCCAAGAATCTGACCGCAGGGCGGCCAGGCTCACTGCTGGTCAGCACTGCAGGGCAAGCCTTATAATGCGATCTTGCTATTCTGGTGCTGTCCTTCTCCTCTGCTCTGAGAGGCTGAGAAGTCTTGGGTCTTACAGTTTCATTAATCTCTCTACAGGCGTCTGAAGGCTCATACGCTGTCTGAGCGCCGATTCCCTGCCTCCAGCACTGAGGGTTATCTGCCTGTGTCAATGTTCTTTGCCGTCTGAGTTTCACGCTATCTGCTGGGCTCTGCCTTTTATCGTTTCCACAGCAATCTCCTTCTCTCTCTGCACTTTGGCTAAGCGTAATTGCCTGTTCCTCATTTCTGCTTTCATGTTGAGGTCTGAGGGATGTCGAAGAGGAATTTGCACTAGAATTGTAAAAAAACTATAGTTACTCTATGCCTACATTGATTAAACCAGTTATTAGTTAAAATATGTAGTAAGCTTTCTTAAAAAGCTTGAAAAAAATAGTGCATATTTTAGTGCAGTTACATATTTAAAATATATAAATTACAGTTTAAACTGCTATTAACAAAGCTAATGCTAACATATAGACAATAATATATAAATAACAGATGTTCTCTAGTATGTGGTAAAAGAACACATTGTTACAATTTTCAGTTTAGCTAAGGCTGGCATAACGCTGACAGCAGGAGAAGGCTCTGCATTTGTGTTTCAGCATGAAGCAGACATGAATGCCCATTTTCACCGAGGAGGTGGTGTCAGTTTGCACAGTACGCACACAATAGTGATTGTCTGCCAAGCTGTAGACAACCAACAATGAAATTTGTGAAAAGGGAAAGCAGTGACAAAGAGGGAGAAAATGAACTGCCAGAGGTGAAAATCTAGACATTAAAAACAATTAATGCTTCAGGTAACCATTATTAATATCTAACTAACTGGTTAACTCTTTAACACATGTAAAAAATATTTTTTCAGAAGGATCCTTATAGCCCAGACACTGCTGGACTGAATTATCCAACAGCCAAATGGGCGTGCTGGGTCAGCTGGCTGGGTTAGGGTGGGCTTCAGTCATTCCAGGTGCTCTCAGGAGCAATCGCTGAGCGCTGCAGTGATTTCTGCAAGGACAGAAAGTACTACACCTGTTCTCCCATCGGTGCCCTCTGTCCCGTGAAGCACTTTGAAGCTCGTAACAATGCTCCAACAAACAGGTGTTTCAAGGGGGCACCCGCACAGGACCTCATTTCCCCTTGGCAGTACATGAGTGGATCAGGTGATTTAATTATACATCATTACTTTTCATTCTACATAACGCAAGTAAAGGTACTCATAATCAGTTTTGTAGCAGGTCAATTATAATAATTAGTCTAATCTAAGAGTTACATATCTAGATCTTTTGTTTAATCAAAACCTACCCTACAAGCTGCACATTACATTTTGATACAAAACACAATTTGACTGAACATTTATTCCACTTACTGCTTTTAACTTCCTCCTGGAATACTATTTTTGAGCTTACTTATCTGTTTTTTCTGTTTCCTTTATCCATATGTATCCAGCGTACTGCCTCACATATCCACTAAGCAGGGATTACATAGTTTGCCAAGAACAGGAACACGTCCTTGATCTGTAGCCATTAAACCCACTTATGTCTGCCACTTTCAGCAACTGACGCTGGCACCAATTCTGCTCCTACAAACATCCCTGAGCATACCACTCATACTGATATTTTAACAAGCGAATGAGTTCCATCCTGCAGACGAGACTCTAAAGTGAGGTGCTGACTAAAATCCCACAGCACTGTTTATAAGACTGAATGTGTTAAATCCAGTGACCTGGCTAAATTCCAGTGTGGGCTTGCACAGTCTGGCCTCTCTGAATGTCCCTCTTGGTTTGGTTGTTGAAGCTGTTTCTCGCTTCTCCTCCTGATCTGCTGAGCTGTGGGGCTGCTGGAGCGTAGTGGCTGCTGTGTATCGCCCTGATCGGCTCTGCACTTCAGGGGTGGATGAAGTGGGTCCCCTCCTATGTTTGAAGTGTTTAGGAATCCTTCACATCGAAAGGCACTATACAAATCCAAGCATTCATGTTTTTTATTAAAAACATCCGATTTCAAAAATTTGTGCATCCATTCAGATGCTCACGACGCTCACCTATATGCGTTTCTGGTAAAGACTAAGTTGGCATAAAGAATCACATCCCATTTAATCCAGCATTTTGCAGGTAGGATTTTGGCCAGGCGACCATCACGGGCATTATTCTGCACATGGAATCACACATCATCCGTGTTTGCACGCCGGCTCACCTTCCCTCCTGGGCCCTGCCCTCCCTCTCCTTCAGTCTCTCTTGTGAGCTCTCCAGGTTCAGCTGAAGGAGCTGGAGATCATTCTGCTGGTTCTCATACACCTGTGGCAGAAGGACAGCCAGAATTGCACGGTCACGCTTGCCCTCATTATTAAAATCACACCTGACACACAGCTTGCTCTTGTGGAGTTTGACTTCTCAGAACTACATTCAGGAAAAGGAGCAAAAATAAATGAGTTTGCACCTTAACCTTCTAAAAGCAATGAGATCAGAAAACCATATCAGACTGGTGATGGAGTCTTACAGCACTGTTGTGAGAACTGTGCTTAATAGCTTCATGCCCTTATTCTTTTCCCAATTCCAAAGGTCTACATTTCCCCATGTTAAGTGCATACTGCATATATCATTTTGTTAGACGGGAGATTTATTACAATTTTATTTTAATCATAGGTAAATTTCCACCACATCCTTTCAAGTTACAAGCTGGAAACATTTAAAAATTCTTATTTTCTGACCAGGTATTTCCACATTAACCTATGCTTTCACCAAAATACAATATTTAAATACTTTGGTCTTGATAGGAGGCACCACAGCTTTATACAATATTATCTAGGACAGCCTAGTGTTTTTTTACAATAAAAATAAAAAAAGTTTTGGTTGCTTTTTAGTCTAGTATTTTTTTCAGACATAGACTGGAATGCTAAAAATGAACATCACATCTCCCGTGATGGAATATTCCACTTAACTCCAACAAAACAATTCAGTGCAAGCATGCAGCCGGATCCTTTAAATGCCAGAGAAGTAAGGTAAGAAAATGTAGGTGTGTTTAGTTATGCCGAAAGACTGGATTCACTGTCCTCCAGCGACCCTTTTTAGTCTGCTTATTGAGGACTGCTTAACAAGCAATTGTTCATTAAATATTGGTTCAAGACATCTCAAAATGAAACCTCAAACAGAAATTCTCCAGATTATTGTAGATGCCTTTCATTTACAAATATGACAGGGTGTTAGACGTTTTAGAGTTTCCTTGACTGTATAAGCTGTCAGTGTGACTAGCTGGGATAGGGTGGGCTTTAGTCAGTCCAGATGTCCTCAGCAGTGTTTTCTGAGCGCTGCAGTGATGTCAGTGATGACACCAGTTCTACCATCAGTGTCGGCTCTCCTGCAGAGCACTTTGAAACTTGCGGTTAATCAATTAACGAATTATGGTTCAGACAGATGGGTGTTTCGAAGGAGTATGTGATAACTCACAGGGTTTGCAGTTATAAGTATCAATATTGAGATCTTTCCTAAATAAATGAAATTACTTTTCAGTGTATATAATTCATGTAAACATACTCAGTAGAATCAGTTTTACAGTGTGCATACAAGCAAGAGCACTCTGTCTGAAAAAGTATTCATAATGCTATTAACTAATATTGAACACTTATACGAGTTGGGTGAAAAAGTGAGAGGAGATAAAATAGTTTTTACTATTTCCTTTGTAATGCTAGCAGCTGAGGTTTAAACGTGGCTCAAAAGTTAATTGCCCGTCTCCCCAGTCTGGCAGCCCAGAAGAATTCCTCCAGCCTCATCCCCGGCTGGCCTGACCATTCAGGCAGGCACCTCCTTATGGGAAGGTCACGTGAGCTCGGTGCCGGTGGGCGTGTCTGTGTTTCTGCGGAAAGCTGGGGACGGGAAGGGTACCTGCCGGAGGCAGTGTAACTCCATCTCTGTGCGCTCTTGCTTCGACCTGGCCAGCTCCAGAAGCTCGTCTTTCCTCCGCTCACCTTCACCTGGGAAAAGAAGCGGTTACGTTCCGCTGCGCAGACCTGCGCGTGGCTGTACAGATCAAGGGGGGAAAGGCCCCTGTCATAGAGCTGTCAGGGGCGAAAGCTGATCGCCTGGAAAATCTAGTTTTGCTGAGGGCCTCTGGGCAAGTCTTGAAATTACCACCATCCTCCAGGTAAGGTTAGAGTGAGGGTTACTCTACAGCCTGACAAGAACCATCCCAATGAAAAAAAATCTATCACTTCTCTTTTATCTGCCTTCATGTTGTTTCTGGTTTCCTGTCACTTAGCCTCTCACTCCTGGATACAGTGATTTCCTACACTGGACAAAGGCGAATCCTTCAAAAGGTGGTAAGCTTGGTAAATGTGGTAAATTCATCCCGAAACTAGACAGACCTGAGGCAGAGTCACAATCCACACCTCAGTCATTTTTCTTTATCAATAAATACACATACCAGACACGTTTAAACAAACCTACTTGTATATTAGAGCTTATAAACCTCACAGTCCCATTATAGAAACAACATGTGGGTGACTTGAATTCAATGACCAATTGTAATGCTTATTTAAATGACTAATCATTTTAGCAATATAAGAAGCTTCTTCCTGTTCAGGAATTCTTGTGATCCTGTGGGTGTGGATAAATCACCAAACTGGGGTAGAACAGCTGATTCACCCTGATAAACAGGTTTTTTAACTTTCATGCCAGTTCTGATTAACTGACATTTCTGCAGATTTACAATGATCCTTAACCCAAAGTTCTGAAGCTTTTATATAAATGAAAAGTAAAACCCTTGAGAGAGAAGTTCTTGAGAGAGAGCTTGTAAGGACAGCACAATAAGCCTGTTGTGCAAACCTACAGTGGGTCATTAGTACTACATACCTGCCAAAGCAAGCTCACTTTGCAAAAGCTGAATCTCTTGTTTCAGTCGGATCACATCTTCCTTTTGATTGTTGTTCTCTGCGGTCTTTTCCTGTAAGTCGTCTGTAACAATAAAACACTGTCATATCAATGTTTTGCATGCAAAGTGGTTTCATTGTTGGGGCCTTGTTTGTTTAATCGTGTGAGTTTGAAATCTTTCAACCTGCAGCACCACTTAACATATCAAATATACTGTACGTAGCACTAGTGGAAATCTACTCGATTGTACTACACTCTGGAATTTCAGCATTCCAGTGCTTTCCTGCTCAAGCATGAATGTACTTAGTAAATGCAGTTTTGTCTCTGCTGCAAAAAGGGCACTTTAATGTGATGTAATACATGTTAATAATACAACATTAATATGTAATAATGTGCACACACAGTAAACTAAGATCTCGTAAAACGATTATGATTATTGTAGACGTTCCATTAAAAACGGTTATATATAATATCCAATATTATATTGCTGAAATGATTTGTCATCAAGGAAAGGCCAACTAGCAATAGACTTTAAAAATACAAATGCAAACATTTTCAAGACTCTTACTTCCAGCTACAGTCTACACTTTCAATTACTGTGCTTTGATTTATACTGCAGAACAAGGAAAAGGAAAATGCAGGTTTCTGGGTGCTGTGGAAAATCTAGGTCGATCATAAGCACTTCAGTAGTTCCCCTCCTTTCATCTTGTGTCTCAAATACCAGTATGAGCAGAGCAGACCTCCCAGGGTGGTGGATAAATTAACTAACATTTACTTGTGGTGCTGAAAGATCTCTTCGGTTTTGTTACCAACAGACCACAGCAGCAAAGGCAACACAAAAAAAGTAGTACTGAAAAACTGCAAGAAAAACTTACAACACCTGGACATTTCTACATATCAAAGGCCGAAAACACCTTTCAATCACCAGCAATGCTGTTTCCTAGAGCTTGGACTGAATAAAATCAGTTATTACCCTAACATTAAGACTTCGACTAAAAAAAAATGGTCAGATTTATCAACTCAAGTCAATTCGTTTAAAAGAAGCCGCGCTAAATCCGTATGCGAGAGAGCAGACGGACACACTCATTTTTGTCCAACAATATCCTCTAACTGTGCCTCTTCCTGCTGCGGGGGGGAATGAAATGTGAGCAGCGGGAGTATCAGTGCTGCCTTCAAGCACTGAAATCCCCATTGTCCGTTTTCTTCTCAGCATACGCGCAACGCTCAATATTTCATTACCTCTGAGCTTTGCGGCCTCGCGTCTCGCTTCCCTCAGCTGCCGTTTGTATTCCTGGGCCTCCTTCAGGGCCCTGTCCTCCCGCAGGCGGCACTCCTTCACTGCTGCTTCCAGCTTCCTGAGGCGGCCGGTGAGGTCCACGATGTGCCTGGTGGCCTCCACCACGTCTTCGTCCTGGCGGGGGCTCAAAGAGGACCGGTAAGAACCACGGGGCCCGACTGCAGCACGAGTACAGGCGTGCTTACAGGATTACGAGATGATGACCTTAGTCCGGACAAGATCAACACTCCGACCTGCCCGCCCACCCGGTGGTGGGTAGGAAGAATGTGGAAGCAAGACATTTAACTCTCAGCCACTGGGAAGGAAATGGGGTTTGAATCTGTAACTTAACAAATCTGTAAGTTATTTCAGTGTTGATTTGCTGTAAGGTCCCTTTCACTCAGCCTGATCCACACTAACTAAAACACACTGCACACGGAGTGATTGTTGCACTACTGAACATACCCATAGTTGTCCTATAATAATGTAGAAACCCGACCCTGGCCAGGGGTCATTCGTGACCTGGCTTTGAGTACATTCTAACCAGAAACCTGTTGTATGGAATATTTCAGAAATAACTGAAAGGCGGGGATAACATTATGAGGAATAACCATTGTGCCACGTGTGAAAGTACTACACCCATTCATGGTAAAGACAGAGGGTGACCAGAGCTGTGCTCAGACTATAAAACTCAACGTAAAAGTGCCTCAGAATTCAGAGCACTTCAGGTGAGACACAGCTTGTGTGTCTTATTTGGTGTTCTCCAGCAGTGGCCTTTTTCCTTACAAATCAAAACTCATTTCATATCTTTGCTGAACTGCACCGTGGCTTCTTGCATCTCTACGACACCTTCTTCAACATCTCCAACAATATTTATATAGCTTTATGAAACATACAATTTGCACTGCCTGGTCTTAATATCATGCACATTACCTTTAATTTCAGCATGGCACCAAGTTCCTGCTCACGAGCCTGAAGCTGCCCAATTTGAGTTGACAGTTCTAATACAGAGGAGTTAAGACTCTGATTTTTCTCCTGTTACAATGACAACATAAAGAAATTATTAATAACATATATTAAACCAGAGCCAATTTACTGACCAGACAACATGCACAGCCAATCATCATTTTATTCAGGGAAATATCAAGAGTAGCAATGCACACATGGGCTAGATTTATCCTGCCATTTGACTAAAACACTGAGTTCAGGATGCTGGTCCTAGTAGGCCTAACAGCTCAGGTTGTCCACTCAGTGGCTCACAGTACATGCAGATGCAGCTTTCTTTGTGCAGCGGTAGTAAGTGATAAGCATCTTTGCTCCTTGAGTGCCCAGTTTTTGCTGGTTTTAGAAGCAACTTTCTCTCAAATAAAATAGTGATTCAGACCTGGAAAAATATTCCTGATCTGACTCCGCACCCCCACATAAATCTTTCATTTAATTCATGAAGGTCCGAGATGGAATGCCAACGAGAAACAGACATCAGGGATTGCTGACCCATACTGTATGGATATTTAGGGAAGCCAAGTCACCACAGGGCCTGTAACAGCACCTACTGGTTTGGCAAGTGGACAGTCTGGCGAAGGGTGTAGCCAAGGCTTTCGATCGCAGCATCTGAGCGAGCAAGATGGATGAGACAAGCAGGCGGGACAGGAAGAACAAGCAAGGAGGGGAAGGCAGGAAGCAGCGCGACCTGTAGGTCCTGGCACTGGCTGGAGGTCTCCTGCTCGCGTTCACTGAGGTCCTGCAGGAGCTGCTGCGTGCTGCTCAGAGCCGACTGGCGGTCCAGTTGCTGGGCCTCCAAGATCCTGATCCTCTTGGTCACAGCTCGGATGATTTCGTTCCTCTTCTGGAGCTCATCTGGGATACCGAAAGTTTACAATAGTGACCTCAACAACAACAACAATCACAAGCAAAAAAAACAAAACAATTTGCTTTACTTGACTTTAACTGTTCTCAAACTGATACTGCTTTGTAAAACTGCGGATTGCTGGGCCCTAACGAGAGACAAAGGAACACTAGGTCATGCGCAAACTGACTAGCAATTCCACACTGTGTCCCTGGTCTTTTAGACCAGAAACAGCAAACTGAAACTGTCCTTGATTTAAATGATTTTACATTTTTGAGTAAAAAAATAATTTAGACAATGTCTTGTCTGACATTGAGTCTTGTCAGACAAGAGTGACGTGGCATGTGAAACCAAGCGTTTTGTATGGTAGGGACAGCTAAATACCAGATCTTCCAATACATTCTAGTCTTTGGCACAACCAACTATATTAAATGTATATTGTGATCAATTACCACATTAATCATGCACTAAAAGGTCTGGTTGGACACACATTCTGCAGTGCAACAGATGGGAAACTCTACAGCGGTTGTTCTTCCTAAGAAAACTCAGCTTTTTTAACGTGTGTACTAGAACAATGGCTTTATTCTATAGAACACTCATTAAATCAGTCCTCATCTTCAAATGTGGTAGACTGATTTGGTAACCTTAATACACACAGTAAAAACAGACCGAGCAGGAGAGTGAGGCCGGCCAGAAAAATTATCAGTGCACAACAGCTACAGCTGTCAGATATCTATGTTACACAAATAGTAAGTAAGGACAATACAATCACTGACTTCCACAACTCCCCCTGGCACACTGAATTTGAGCTCCCTGCATCCGGGCGTTGATTTAGGCTGTCCAGATTCCAGTGCAATAGACCCTAAGGTATCCTTTATTCTCACGGCTATTAACCTACTTAATTTGGTTGCATATTTTACATTCTGTATACATTTATTTTTCTTTCTCATCATATACAGTACGTATCTTATGTCGTTATTTGTTAACGGGTTCATGTCTAGTTTAACGTACTGTGTGTTGCGTTATGTCTTTTACCTGCCTGTAAGGCAAGTTTCCTATCTGGGACAATAAAATCAAGTTGGTAATAGTATCCGGTACTACACCTGAAATTAACCAGCATTATTACATGAAACCCCTGTGGGGGTCTAGAAGCCTCACTGTCCCCAGCGCTGAGCTCTTACTCTCAAAGCGTGCACATCTCTGCTCCAGGGTGAGCACCTTCTGCCGGTCCTCCTCCCAGGCCAGGAGCTGTTTCTGGTGGGCAGACACCATGCTGTTGAGCTCCCTGTCTCTGTCCTTCAGCTCCGCCACCAGCAGCTGCAGCTCCTTCCGCTGCTTCTGGATGGTGGCGCTCTCGATCTCGACAGCAGCCTTCTGCACAGCAGAGCACAAACAGCAGAGAAATATTTGTGCTTATGCGTAAGACGTTGGAATAACATGGAAAGACCCCGCAGCACAGCATGTAACATTTTAAAGGTTTTTCGTAGCCCTCTCAAAGAAACGCCAGGACATAGAGAAATGGTCTGCAGCCATGTATGCCTTTGATGGTTTACTGCAGAAAAAGTGGAAATTGCAGCAGTGTGGATTTCTATGATTGTACTCTTTGATTGTATTCTCAGTATTTCTGAGGTCTGGGATACCCTGTCCTAATGCTGAACGAACAGCGCGCTTCCTTAAAATCACAGTCCTTTAAGAAACCGCGCTTCATCACGGGGAAAAAAAAAATCAAGCACACTTTTAAAAATAAAAACAAACACTCGTCTGGAGCAGGACAGCTGGTCCCCAGTCATACAAAAGCTGCCCAACTCTAGAAAGAAAACTCTGATTTCAGGTTTCTGCCAGAGCAAGAGCTGAACTGAATTCTTCATTGTGCCCACTGGCAATAACATGGTGCCTGAATTCAGTGCCAAGATATATGCCCTTGGAGAAGTAAGAGTCTGAATTATTAACAGGAAGCATGCTGAGTGCCTAACACACAGGATAGTGATGATGTCCAATGACCAGGTCCACCCATGCTCCAGTAAATCTGATATCCTGTGATTCTCTGTGGCTTTCACATCTCACTGGTAAAGGCCACATCTACTTATCTGTAAATATATAATTGGCAGTTATTCCATTAATTCCAAGGTATAGTTGTCACACTATTTAAGACTAGTTCAAAGGCTGGTTTAGGGATAATGGGACTAAAGCAAACTAAATAAATGGAGATGACCATGAAAAGCAGAATAATTTAAAAACACGGATTAAAAATTAAATCTACCAATAAGTTTTGGAAAAATGGAGTATTCTAAATGTCTTCAAAGAGATTCTCAATAACAGTGTTGCACTACAATAACTAATCTTTATAAGTAATGTTCATAAATGATCAAACTTTAATTGTACTGCCACCTTCAGGGCACTACTAAATAATAAATGGAAACAATTCTGCTGTAGGTGCTGCTACAATTACTGCCAAACCCACAGTAATAGCACAGTTGGACTGGAAGAAAGAGGATTATTCAGAACAAACTCTAATGACGTAAGTGTAACCAAAGATATAACAGCCATAAATCATGTATAATCCTGAAGGAACTCTTCAGAATACAGTCGGAATTGTTTCAGCCTCTTTGATGTCTGTGGTCTCGAAATGTGATTTAGATTGCTGCGCCCGCGGTGTAGACCTCACAGCCAGTCTTCTCTTACGTGAACATGCTTCCTTCCCGTGATGGGCTGTGGACAGTCAGAAGGGAGGTCCTGCAAGGGGTCTTCCGTCTGTAACGTCACCGCACTTCCGAAGTGAAGTCGTGTTGGAGGTGGCTGACTCTCTGTCAAGGATTTAAAGCTGTGCTGCAGAGACCCAGAAAGTGCTTCTTTTAAAAAGCCTTGAAATGTATTTTTTTTTTATTGAAAGAGAGGCTGTAATATATTATTTATTGTTTTATCATATTTTAAATGTATTTGTTATTATTATATTTAGCATTTTTGATCCACTGTATGTTATGAATTAGAATAATAAGGATTACTCATTAAGGGTTATTAACAAGGATTTCTTTACTGTTGGTGTGCTCCAAACATATACATACCCTTGACTCCATTTTAATAAAACAAAATTGCAAGTTTACAGTGAATATTTGTTGCATAAAATAAAACTTGACACACTATAAAACTATTAGTATTGAATATCACAAAATAAATCAGTCCAAAATAATTACACATTCTTCAAAATACACAATATTGAAAATATTCACACCAGACAAAACTGTTGAAAATGAGTGCTATAAATGCAATTCTTAACTGCTTTGTGGACATCTGGCAGTTTTTCAAAATTTCCAGAATATTTTTAAAACTTCCATTTAATTACACAACAAGCACTAAATGTACACTTGCACTTTTTCTGCTATTTAAGCATCAATAAATAAGGTCTAAAACTGGAAAGAAGTTTTAATAGTATCATGTCTACATCTTTTTGTGCCACCTGCTAAATATTTTAAAGCGCTCTAATCTTCATGAGAGTGCAGTCTAATTTTCAAACTGTCAGATCAACAATGATCTAATGAGTCCCAGGCAGCTCAATCAATAACCAACCACTTCCAGCTTGTATAGCTCAGGGTCAGTTCAAACTGCAGAGATTGCCAGTTTCAGAGTATCGAACGCCATTAGCCCAATGAAAGCTTTATTTCCTATATATGGAGCTCCCCAAGACTTCTATTTAAGGGTAACAGCCAGCAGGTGCTCAATAGCAGCATGGCGCCTCTGAAGACATATTAAATGAGTTCAGTTAAGGTTTAACTGGAGAAATTAAACCCTCCTGCACTGGTCTGATGCTGCTGACAACGTAAGAAAAACTACAACTGTTGCCTTAAGACCCCCTTGGACAGGTGCAAGGCTGGACAGGTAGTGCTGTGGTAGGATGGGCATGAACTCTCCAGGTTATCTTCTGCTTAGTTTTCAATTAACATTAACTCCAGTGACTAAGCTGGGTGCATGTGAGCTTGCAATGTTGTGAATACCAGCAAGGACACCCCCTTATGGGATACTAGTTCTACTATAGGCACTGTGTGGCTCACAGAGGGAAAAGCAGTGAAGAGGCTCTGACAGTGCCTATTTAGGAGGAAGACATGCACTTTTTATATCTCTGCCTTCTAACACAAAAATGTGTGGAACATCCGGTTCCATTTTAATCCAGTAAAAATACGTTGACAGTAAAAGCATTGGCCTACCTTTTTTACCGGAGTACTGTGCCATGGGTCCATACAAACACCTGAGGAAAAATAAGAACAATCATTTAATTAAAAATAAGACCTTCTGTTCAAAGCACTGATGCACTCCTGGTCCTAGAGGTCTGCTATGTCCTCTGATTTTCATTCCTCCCTGAACTGTTAATGGGTTGATTTGAATCACTTGTTCACTTGATTGCTCTGTGTTGCACTGTTTCCAGGTTTTCACTCATTGATGGTTGTATGTCACCTATAATACCTGGTGGATTAGGAGTGAATATCGCTATCACCTTAAAAGGTCTTAGGATTCTTAACACTTACACTTACACTTATAGTATATTGCATATACTTTATTCCTCTCAAACACTTACAATACTAATGTCAGAAATTACACTTCTACAGTGCAGTTATTCATTGT